TGATTCGAGGAAGATGTACTCACGTTTATATTTTCAATTTCAGATTGTGTCTTTTTCTTGAAGTTTTCATCTTCGTTTTGGGGAAGTAACTTCTCAATTAAATTTCGCATTGTAAAACATTGCTGTTCGAAATTATTTTCTATTCTGGACAAAGCATCTTGAGTGTCTTTTTTTAAAGTATTAATATTGTCTTTTGTTGACGATAGTGTTTGTTCAAGAGAACCAAACCTATTGTTAAAGGCATCCTCTTTTTCTTCGGCTAATGCCTTTGATTTTGGGGTTTTCTTTGGCATCTGCTCTTAGCACCGTTTTTTTTTTTTTTTAAATAAAAATGTTCTTAGTACTTATGCGTAGATCTTTACAGTATATATATATTTCTTTATGACTGCGCCATGAAGTAATTGTTTAATTATAACAACTTTAATATAAAACTCGTTTATTTTCTCGTTATGACAACTTTATACAAATTAATGACAAACCTTCCCTATAGCTCTAGGAGTAGGTATATAGTATACACATATCACCACAGATACTATATTCGTTCATCCTGTATCAAACACAGAAGTGTTTAATATTATTTTAAGTCTCAAAAAGTCTGGTTCATTAGGTTTGGATCATATTAGTAGTAAAATATTGGTCTCGGCAGTAAACTATTTAGTATATCCTCTTACTTTTTTATTTAATTTGTCAGTAGTTAATGGATTATTCCCTGATGTATTTAAGACGGCAAGAATTGTACCGATATTTAAAAAGGGAGAAAACACTAATGTCCAGAACTATCGCCCAGTTGCAATTCTTAGTTCAATCTCAAAAGCATTAGAAAAAGTTATTTATTCTAGAATTATGCAATATTTAGATTCTAACAAAACACTTGTAAATAACCAACATGGTTTTAGGAAAACGAAAAGTACACAAACAGCTTTAGTGCAATTTATAAATAGAGTATATAACGCGTTAGATAACGGACACAAGTGCATAGGCCTGTTCATGGACTTAAGCAAAGCCTTTGATTTAGTCAACTACAAAATCTTAGAACACAAATTATACAACTATGGTCTACGTGGAAAATTAAGCGATTGGTTGATGTCTTACCTAGACAATAGAAGTCAAGTTGTTGATATTAATGGCATATTATCAGACGTTTTAGACACATCAATAGGGGTTCCACAAGGGTCCATTTTGGGCCCTTTGCTTTTCCTAATATACGTTAACGATCTTCCGGAAATTCATAACTTTGGCGATGATCTTACAATATATGCGGATGATAATAATTACCTATGCACTGATGATACATTAGATAATTGTCTAGTTAAACTACAATATATGATTAACAAATTTAAAAAATGGTTTTCATCAAATAAGTTATGTATGAATACGGAGAAAACAACATTTGTTCATTTTACACCTCGACCGATAACTGATGAATGCCATTTACTAAAAATAAATGGCAAATCCATACAACAGAGCCAGAACACAAAATTTTTGAGAATTCATATTGACGCTTCGCTAACATGGATGCAACATATAGATGAAACGTGTAAAAAAGTGTGTTCCTCTTGTTATGCATTGATACGTCTTAAACAATTATGCAATGAAAAAATTCTAATTTCTTACTATTATGGTTTGGTATACTCCCGAATTAAATACGGTATTATATTTTGGGGATCATCGCCCCATTTAATTAGACTTTTTAGACTTCAAAAACGGTGTCTCAGAAATATCGCTGGCATTTCTAGATATGCTTCTTGTAGAAATATTTTTAAACAATTAAAAATATTAACGCTGCCCTGTATACAGGGTGTACCAATAAAAACTCCCAGGCCGGATATTTTGTAAGTAACAGAGATATTTTAATTCTGTAAAAGCCACTTCATAGAGCACTAAGAGAGCTACAGTTTTAGATATAAATTGATTTTAAATAGGCCAATATGTAGATGGCGCTGCGCTCATTAATTGTTTTTCGATGGGAGGATCTTTCTTGTGTAGCGCATCTTGTAAAAAATGCATTTTTAAGCAGATTTTGTTCCATGAACTAATTCGATATATTTAGCCATTTTTGATATACAGAGTGGGTCACTTAAAACAGTTTCATCCTGTTTTTCAGCTTTAATCATTGGATTTTAAAAAAATGCTAAAACAGGTCGATTTTTATTCCAAATTAAAAACATTTTTACAATACAGACATCTGTCATGTGTCAATCCCCTCCCTTGTACTTTTCCACACCTTAATTTTAAATAGGTAATGTACCATGTATGGCACATCATTAAAAAGGTAATTTAATGGCGGATTCAGAAATATTTCTGTACATTGCGTTACTTAAATTTTATCGCCCTCTAGCGGGATAAAAAACTACTACGTATTATTGAGTGTGATATTACAATGTGTAGTACATCATTAAAAAGGTAATTTTATGGGGAATTTAGAAATATGACTGTTCGTTGTGATACTTTTAATTGTACCGCCCTCTATCGAGATAAAAAACTACGAATTTTAAAGTATGACACCTTATTTGAAAGCAAATGTAATTACTAATTCAATGTACCACATAACATTAATTAATAACATAATAATAATATAAATATCCATATTGCACTTGCAATAGTTTGAAAATTAGTCATGCATTATTTTAAACATTATTGCTTTTATTTTGTTGCAAGCACAACAGTCCTGGATTTGTCAATAGGCCATATAGGCCGCGGCCTAGGGCGGCAGATTTCAGAGGGCGCTTACTTGATTTCAGAGAATAAAAGTCAAACAAGTTCACTGGTTTTTTCATTGTTTTTTTATACTAATACGTAAAATCCCTATAGAAACTCATTCGTATCGAAAATTATCAATCCTAGGTACCTTCTGTTATTGTACCTATTTTATCTATATTACGACGATTTGGTTCAAGAATGTGTACATTTTCACAGGCACGTTTCCTCTAATAAAACTACAGAGTGTGCAGTGAAGCCTGGATCAAACTCACTACTGTCTCTCAACGTTTTTAAAGAATCAATCTCTGTCTAATGTTTACCCTAACTTGGTTATAGCTATCCGCATTGCACTTTCCACTCCGGCTACAAATTGTTCTAGGAAAAGAAGTTTTTCCTATTTAAAACGCCTGAAAAATTATCAAAGGTCTTCATTGTCTCAAGAAAAAATGAATTCTTTGGCTCTTCTCTACAAAGAAGCAGAGATAATAAACACCATAAACTATCATGATATTGTAGATGATTTTGCTATTAAAGAGTCTCGTAAAAAATTATAATTCTTGTTTCTTTTTTACGCTCTTTCTTAATGACTAATTCATTCGTTTATTTAACATTAGTATCTTCCTTACTACAAATGGAAAATTATTATTTTAAAAAGGTACATGGGGCGGTGAAAATAAAGTGGCCTACACTCATAAAAAATATAAATCCGGCACTGAAGCACAATATGGACATATTTATATTAGTGTTATGTGGTGCATTAAATTAGTAATTAAATTAGCTTTCAAATGAAGTGTCACACTTTATAATACGTTACAGATTTTTTATCCCGATAGAGGGCGCTAAAATTAAAAGTATCGCAATAAACTGTTATATTTCTGACTTCCCCATAAAATTACCTTTTTAAAATTAAGGTGTTGGAGAAGTGGAAGGGAGGGGGTTGACACGTGACAGATGTCTGTATTGTAAAAATATGTATAATTTGGAATAAAAATCGACCTGTTTTAGCATTTTCTAAAAATCCAATGATTAATGCCGAAAAACAGGATGAAACTGTTTTGAGTGACCCACTCTGTATATCAAAAATGGCGAGATTTATCGAATTAGTTCATAGAACAAAATTTTCTTTGAAATGCATTTTTTACAAGATGCGCTACACAAGAAAGGTCCTCCCATCGAAAAAAAATTATTGAGCGCAGCGCCATCTACATATTGATCTATTTAAAATCAATTTATATCTAAAACTGAATCTCTCTTAGTGCTCTATGAACTGGCTTTTACAGAATTAAAATATCTCTATTACTTACCAAAATATCTGGCCTGGGAGTTTTTATTGGTACACCCTGTATATATGGTTGAACTGCTAATATACGTAAAAACTAATTTAAATATGTTTATGACAAATGCAGATATTCACGATTATGATACCAGAAATAGCGATTCTTTAGTAATTCCGTCTCACAATTTGACATTATATGAAAGAAGTCCTTATTTTTTAGGAATTAAGTTGTATAATAAACTGGATCGGACTCTTAAAGAAATAAATAGTACTAAATACTTTAAACGTAAAATAACGGACTTATTTTCAAGGAAAGCATTTTATACTGTTTCTGAGTTCCTTGATTCGTAGATAAATCATCTCCTTCATAAATATTATAATTATATTTTTGTTTATAAATAAGTTTGTTTTAGATTTTTTTAAGTTTAGTATCTATTTCTGAATTTTAGTACTTTGTATTTTCTATTCTACTTTATTAAATTGTACACCATGTTTTGACTTTTCCCATACCTGTACAAGGTCTCTTGGAATTAAAGATTTATTTATTTATTAATGTTTAAAGACCATTTGGGAGCACCGTCCCTGTTCCGGCTAATACACAACCTTCCTTCATGTTTAAAGCGAGACGATGGTCTACTATAAATTGCAACAGACTATATGTATATCGAGCCACAAATAATTAACTTCGAAAAGGTTATAAACGGTTGAAAAAATACATTTTCTACGATTAATTATCTTCGCCATTTTGTATAAATCATTTAAAATGAGCTCTTAAAAATCACAAACATATTAGATGGACAAGTGGCTGTCCCCCAACACAAAGCCAACATCAGTTAATTAATGTTGGTCCACAAATTATGAAAATATAATGGCCTTTCGACATTTAACCAACATGGTCATCTCCTCATCAATCGTGGCAAATCGTTGGCAGTTAATTGACTGGATTCTATTAAAAATTTGTTTATTTAGGTAATTTATACCGAATTTACTAGTATTGATATTTTTAGGCGCCTTAGTAATCGGTATGACCACAACGTGCGCCGCCAAACATCAATCCTCCCTGCAAGCACTAAAAATTCCAATAGTAATCGTAGAAGAAGCAGCCGAAATCTTGGAATCCCACATCATCGCCGCTTTGACAACGCACTGCGAACATCTGATCCTGATCGGGGACCACCAGCAATTGAAACCCTCAACAGCAAACTACAAAATCGAAACCAAATTCAAGTTGGGCGTCAGCCTCTTCGAACGGATGGTCTTGAATAACATTCCATGCCATACGCTGAATATCCAACACAGGATGAAACCGGAAATTGCCAATTTGATTAGACCGGCGATCTATCCTGCGTTGAAGGACGGTAATTCCGTTCTAAGAAGGGATCCTGTCAGAGGTATTGAACGGGACTTGTTTTTTATTGATCACAACGAGGAGGAGAAGCTGTGTAACGATAACAGCAAAAAGAACGTACACGAAGCGAAATTTTTGATGACGTTGGCCAAGCATTTGATTTTGAACGGCTACAAACCGGACCAAATCGTCGTGTTGGCGGCTTATTTGGGTCAGATGTTTGAGATGGAGAGACAAAAGTGGTGAGTTCAGCAATAAATTTTGCGTAAATAATGTATATTGTATTTTTCAACAACTTTAGGATATTTTAATTTCATCTCTACCTTTAAAAATGTTTATATTTTAGTCATATCGCTAAAGACGTTAGAATAGCTGTTTTGGACAATTATCAAGGTGAAGAGGCAGATATTATTTTGCTATCATTAGTAAGAAATAATAGCAATAACAGCATCGGCTTCTTAAAACTAGAAAACAGAGTATGTGTAGCACTGTCTCGAGCCAGAAACGGACTTTACATCATGGGCAATATGAAACTGCTTTGCAGTAACAGCGAAGTAAGAAAACAATCAATGTATAATAATTTATTTTTGTGCAACCCCATGTTTTTAATACAACAGATCCTTATTCATTGTAAAATAAATGAATATGGATCGCCATATTCTCGACTTACAGACCTAGACTCAGACACAATTTTTCTAGGAGTTACAACGCTCAATTTGGAGCTTTCTCTCATAGTTTTTATATTTAACTTTTGTTGTTCCTACTTTTTTTATGCACTTTATAATTAAAAATGTGTCTGTAAGGTGGGGGAGAATGGGTTGCTTCTCAGCATCCTTCAGCTAGGTGAGTGTCTGGGGATTACCAGCTTCTCAGGTCAAAGTTCTGCAGGTTAATACCGTCTCCGAGAACTATGACTAGGTGCTCAATTTTGGGAAGTGTGTAACGTGTATATTTGGCAGTACGAAATACTAGGTTTTAAATTCGATTTACCTTCTGTCTAGTCAACTTAAAAATCTGTTCTTGATTGCTGTTATTTGTTGTAAACTAACGGTATGTGTTGATACAGTCTATTTCTAATTGATTGTCATTTTTAGTATTTAATTCATCTTATTCCTAGACAGCACAAAGACATCTTTAAGACGTCCATAAGACGTCTGTCAGAGACATGACAGACGTCTTATGACGCCGGCCAGACGTCTTAAAGACATCTTTAAGACGTCTGATGTTACAAAAGGTAACGTTCTTAAGACATCTTAAATATGTCTGTTTTTCGACATTGGTAAGACGTACTCTCGGATTTAGTTTTAAAAGCTTCTGTAAATTCCTTCTATACAAAATAAAACACATATTTTCTATAAACATTATTATTAACAAAACACTGAAATATTTCGTTAAAAAAAGTAATATTACAAATTATTTTTTTTATTCTTTCTCCGTTAGTGGTCAGATGCTCTTCTGAGCCAGCCTGGGTTGCAATAATTTTAACTACGCTGTGTAAAATATTATGCAATTATAGCTCACTCTGTCAAATTCGCTTTAATAGGATTTTCATTAGATAGTGTGGGTTAAGGGTGGTCAAATAATGGCAATCTTCCTGTACTTTCAACTCTAATTCAGATATATTTACATCCGATAAAGCTTCTAAGTCAGCTCTAGACATAGATATATAACCAAGACAGATAGGATTATTTACAAAATTTTTGAAGAATGAACGGTGGTGTCCGTGGTAGAAACTCAATAATCGGATTGAACATTGATGCCAAGTTTACGTGCTTTTAACTAATATATATAACCAATACAGATTACACAATTTCTGAAGTCAACGCGGATGATCCTCGACAGAAATGCAATATTTGGATAAAATTAAAATATTGATGCCAAGTTTGCGATGTTTTTAACTGTAGTAATGTTATTACGTTTGCTTGAATTACTGTTAGGTCTTTAAATTGTCCAAAAAAAAATAATGTCTGACAACAGCGGAAGTAGAGTAGACCGCAATTGTGGAGGGTCGTATATTATTTCATTCATAAAAATTCCTTCGATACAGTACTAGTCCAGGAGCCAGTTAATTTTTTCGTACTTGTTTTCCCGGTCCGTGTATATTTAAATAATCTATTCCCGGTGAACTGTATATTTAAAATGGAACGCCAATCTATTAACAAAAGTAAGCTAGATTGAATTCGCGCATTACGTCACATCGATACAAGTGAGATTGTTTACAAAGTGCCTTTGCAGGCCTATTTTGCCCATTTCATGTATTTGTTTTTAAATCATGTTAAGTTACTATTTTTGAAACTCAACAAGGAGAAAATCCAATTAACTCTTCCGTTGTGTATATATATATATATATATAAGATAAATTAACTGAAGTTTTATTAGTAAAGTATTAATACTAAAATTTTAATGTAATTTACAGAAAATAGCTAGGTATGTATTTGTTTTTAAATAATTTGATAATTTATGAAAAAAGGGGGTAAAAGTGGAATGACCAGTGGCCAGTAGGTCAGTCAATACAAAGTATCATATATTTCTATTATAACATAACTAAAATACCTACATCTTTTAATCATAAGGACATAAGTTAAAAACCATTTTAATATATGCATTATAATGAATTAATAATAACTTAAAGTCTTAAAGTAATAGCTGGTACAGCATGTTTTTTAAACGTTTCCTCATTGCTGTTAGAATGAAATCACTTACTATGAAATGTGCTCTAAAAACGGCATTTATAGCAGTCAGTGTTCAGTCTTAGAATCTCTTCCTAAAGCCCTCATCCAAGCTGCATACATATTAAAAAATAATTTTAAAAAAAACATATTATATACCTATATAGTTTTCGGTTCTGGGTGCCCTAAAAGAGGACAATTAGCCGACAATTTGGCTCAGATAGCTAAAACCCAAAAGTCACACCCCGAACCAGGACGTATTGCTATCCTTTTAAGTAAAAAATAACTATAAATAACTTTACACCAAAAAAACCATACACTTTTTCCCATTGTTGCAAGCACCCGATGACGATTAGGTAGATATCAACTAGAAGCATGTACTTAATGGTTATTAAAGCTTATTTTAACACCAAAAGAATAAAGCACTAGTCGATAAGCAGCAATCAAATATAAATAGACCACAATATTAAAATTCAAATTAAAAACTATATAAAAGACAAATACTCTAAAAGCGCAAAAGATCAGAACCAAATAAAATGAATAACCATAATAACCTAAAAACACACTAAAATTGCAAAAACTATTACTGTAAAATCATGAGATTACATCAATAATGCATATGCGTCGGAGTATCGCAAATGTCAAAAGTACAGTGTTTCCATGAAAATTTAGCTATGTTTTTAGCAGTATTATAGGACCATTTCTATTGGCGTTCCACAGTTCACTGTATTTTCCTCACACCTCTAGTATAAATGATTTGACATAACGAAACTAACAATAATTATAATTAATGTAGTGATTCGTGAATTCTAAATAAAACAATTATTATATAAAAGTGTAAAAGGAAATGTTCCCTATTTCCCTATTTTCTTCTGTAATATCTTCAATTATTATGTTTAATTTCTATAAATAAACCAACTGGTTAGGTGAAACATTGTGATATAAGATTTTATTTATGTGTCCTATGCGTACACTTTAATATACAAAACACCTGGAACATTCTTTAAATAATTGTGGTCGTAGAAATAGTTGTGTACATAACTCGTTTGAAAGTGTATTTTATGCACTTGCCAAATATATTATCCATACAGATTAATCAGACTATTTTTTTACTTAACTTCAGTACATCTCTTACTACTAAAACTATTTTTATCAATGAAAAAAAAGGGCCGTGTTCTCGTATGTTTTGACGCATTTTCGGCCTCAGCCCATCGGATCCCCCCTCTAAATATATATGAATTTTGCTTAGAATTGCTAATCCTACAATTCTCTATTCGTGCTTGCTGACTGGGAAAATAAATACCGAAAATCGTCACTGTCTCCTGGACTATACAATAGATGATGATGAGAACTTCACAACAAATACACTTTTATGAATGGCTAGTTGGGGATGTGGCTCTAGACGCCTAGACGTACTTAAAACACTAATAAGGGTTCTTCTATTTGGTTTTTCAGAATATGTAGTAAACTTTTATGCTTATAAATTCACAGTAATCCACGGTACAAGACACAAATAAAAAAAATCAACGAATAACCGAACAAAAACTAACCTCTCCCTCCGCTTTCATCTTCAATGACAACGAAAGGACAACGCAGAACGCCACGAACCACGGAACCCCAATAATACTCACATTCAAATACACGTCCTTGTTTAAATTCTACTGTTGAAAAAAGACAAAGCATAATAAAAACATTCGCATCGATCGTTGGACCATGTTCCGGTCAAGGTGAAAGAGCGCGTAATTCAATTTGTCTCATGTTTTAATTGTTAATTTTATTTAGAGTTATATTTTTTATTATTATTTTTATGTTATCAAATATTTACTTACTCTAATGAACAAATGCTCGCGAATAAATAAAAAAATAAGTAAATTAATAAAAAAAAAATAAAAAAAATTTTATATTTTGTGAAATTAGAAACGACAAGTAAGCCAGTACTTCTTTTATTGTTACCATTATTTTTTAAATAGATAGGCATTCAAAAGACGTCTTTATGAAGACGTCTTTACAACGTCTTTTTTAGGTCTTTAGGCGTTCAGTCATAACTACGACATAAAACAGACGTCTTTAAGATGTCGTGTGCTGTCTGGGTTAGAGAGGAGTATACGAATTTATTTGTAGTACCTAAGTTGTACAATGATTGACTAGTTATTTATTTTTTCATTTATTGGGTTTGTGGAGAAATAAGATCATAGTTCGACCATTATAGAAACTATTTCCGTAATTTTAATAAGCTCTAGCTATCGTCTGAGCGACGTTTTTCCAGAAAATACGAAGATGTCGATTAACATAAAAAATGTACACCATTTTTACCAATATAGGTTGAGAGATCCACTTCCTAGTACTGTAGAGGAGTTGAGACAGGTATGTCGCTGTATGGAGGATATACGCGACGCTATAAATAACTATGTTGAGCCTAACATAGTCCAAGCGGTGGGTAAAGAATAAGAGGGTCTATTCGCAAAAGGTCGGAAAGAAATGAAATTTAGTGGGATAGTAGATGTGGGTCCGCTGATACTACACCTAAGTTTGCGACCTCGGGGGGTTGCCGCTTGAGGGGTGGAAGAATGACAACTCTGCGTCGCGACGCTTTTCGGGAAATAGCGCCGTTGTGGTAAGTGCTATCGAAAAAAGGTTCAAATAAAATATGTACAGGACAAAATCGTGCACAATTTTGACCTGTACATTTTTTTGTCTGCGACCAAATAATAAGTCTATTTTTATGTATGAGAGAGTAATAAAACAGCATTTCTAATGCAAAACTTAGTACGGTCATTTTAAATATTTTTACAGAATAATCTAAATATTTCCTAAAATTGTAATAAATGTACCTGAGTTATTACATGTTTTGGGTCTTTTATTGGTCTTTTATAAACATAAGCTGT